TATTTTTCTATAAATTTAACCCTAATTGTTATAGTACTTGCATAGACAATAATGGTGTTACAAAAACTAATGATTAGGGTTTATTTTGTTATGAATTTAAAAGTTTAGAGTTTATTTTGCATATTGTAAGAGTTTAGAGTGCAGGACGATTTTCGAATAAAAATTTTAAGATCCTATTTACTCATTAATTTAATCAGTGAATAACATTTCATGACAGGATCTAAAAGGGTATTTAATATGCCTCCGAAATGAGCCATGTGATGTGGCCCTATTCATTCATTTATTTATTAGCCATTCCATATATATATATATATTCCACGTGGCAAGACTTTTACTATTTTACTCCAAATCATGCTTCTTTTACAAAGTAATACTAGATTACTAGTCTTATGGTGGTCGTTTCTTTAAATTTGATTAAATTATTATTGCTATAATTATTATTTCAAAATTTTGAATTCTTAAACATCTTTTATGATATTAATAAATTCAATTTATTACGTATAACTTATAAATAAAGAAATTTTAGTTTACCAAAAGAAAAGAAAATCAATCTTATAATCAATTAATATTTAAAAAATAAATTTATCAAAAAATATTTAAAAAATAAAATAATATAAATAATACTATATTTATATTTGGAGTTGGGCGTGACTTGATGGTTTTCAAGGTCAATCCAATATATCAAGTAGCACCAAGTCTACCGGGTTAATTGAAAACCTCCAATTCATTTATATATATATATATATATATATTAACCATTCCATATTCACATTCCACATGTGCTTAACGTTTCACTATTTCACTCTATCATTTGTTTAGCAAAAAATAGTTTTAAATTAGTTTACTAATTTGTCTTAAATTTTGATTACTATTTTACTATCTCAAATTCACACTTGCAACTAATGTTTTGAGAATTAGACTAAACTATTTGATTTAATCAGTTGAACTATGAATTAGTTTAGTATTTGATCTAGACATCACACAAAAATTAAAGATACACGGAATTGATCAAAAACTTGTTAAACTGGCCTCAAACCATCCAAAATTGGCCACATATTTGTTTTTTTTTTAATTTAATCCATGTTTCTGAGCTACAATTTATGCAAATCTATATCAAGAAAGCATGGAAAATAAAGAGGAACAAATATATAAGAAAATTATAAATTAAGAAACTAGTATATATATTTTGGATGAAAATAATGGAATATTGAAGGATATTGCATTTTTTTTACTATATATTATTTTTTTCTTCTAATATGAATATTTATTTTTACTATTATGGATGCTTATTTTTTTCTTATTTTAAGCATATATTATTTAAAATATATTAATTTATTTTTTATCAATCAACCAATTATTGTACTGTTAATTAGTATCTTCGCCAATTCAATAGTAGTTTAGTTTTATTAACATTGCTTGAAACTTAAAATAAAATAAAATAAATTCTGGTTGATGCTTCTGTACGTAGACATATAGTGTCGGAAAAATCGTGTTAAACTATAAAGAGAAAAATACACTGACTAAACTGTTACTACGCCTTAATTACATAAACCTCCCCTCTATTTTAAAAACTCATATAAAACTTTCTTAAAATTAAAACATAAGTTACATGAACCTCCTTTGTATAGTTGAGATCCCATTTCTATCCATCCACTATGAGTTGATAATTAAGTTTGACTTTTAAACTTTTAATTTGATCAAAACGCCCCTATTTAACAAGTATTATCTAAAAATTTATATCTGCCATTTTTTTTTGCATAAAGCCAAAAAAATATAATAAATACCTTTTCAAACTTTTATTATATTATAAAATTTATTAATATTTATTATATTATAAAATTTTATAATTTTAATTTTTATCAAATTTATTGAAAATTATTTATTTATGTTTTTAAAATTGCTAAAAACATATTTCAAACACATATTTTTTCATCACATAACATAAAATAGTATAAGTTTGAGAGATTATATAAATAATTAAAATTTAAAATTTAAAATTTGTAACCGTCAAAATAACATAATTTACGTAGTCTCAGATTTTTCTTCCTCAATTTCTTTTCTTCTTCTTCTTTACAATGAAATTCGTGTAAGCATCAAAATAACAAAATTTAGGTATTTATTAGGGTGAGGGGTAAAGTTGTAAATAAATTTTTTAATATAAAGTTCAATTTAAAAATGAGTTTTAAAAATATTCCTAATAGAGTTAACAAATTTGACTAAATTATACCCCATTCATTCAGAAATGTAAGGTATTTTTTGAGGAGTTAGTTGTTAAAAAATGTAAGGCATTTTTAGTCTTTTGAGGTGTAATTAGTACTTTTTTTAAAAGTACCCTTATTGATGAATGACTTTATATTCACTGTAGAATGTTTAATAGGAATAAATATAAAAAGACAGGATTAATTTAAAAGTTTGTAATTATTTTATTAAAAAGTGAGATTCAATTAAAAATATTTTAATTTTTAAACGGAAGGAGTATATTTTCAAAATAAAGGAGAATTCTGGGTAATGAAGATAAAAATTAAAGATAGTCAGAATGTTTTACTCAATTAGTCAATTATAAAAAAATCTCTTGTTAAAGAAATAAATTCAGAGAACTGAGATGCAGAAATTAGGTGACCTAAAAGTGTAGTTAAGCGCATGATGCGGGAGGCAACAAGGAAATACATGAAGATGAGTTTCAACGTCAAACTTGGCTTGATTCCTTTCAAATGAGCATATCCATTTTTTATGGAAAATTATGAATAAGTTTCTTTTAATACGAGGTCATGACATATGTTGTGCAAAAAAAAAAAAACGTCATATTAGAATTCAAAAAAGTCCAATGCCCACAAGGTGGATAATTAAAAAAAAATTTATGTTGAACATTTCATGATCAGCATGACAAGCAAGCTAATTAACACAATTGTTAATGGCGGGAGATGAGAAAGAGGAACGAGAGGGGAGGCCAAAGAAAAGAAAGGAAGAGAGCTGAGAAAAAAATTAGAGAGAAGAGATAAACTCACAGGATAACAATTCTTTCATTCAAAGGTATTTATAAAGAAAATGAGTTGATGCATTATTTATAAGTTTTAACTTAATCTTAAAAATAAATGTGTGAACAAGAAATTTTAAAATTAAATTGAATAAAAAGATAATAATAAATATTAAAAAATAACAATAATATTAAATAAATGCAAAGTTATAATAATTAAAACAAGATATGCATCAATCATAAAATTTATTTTCATTATCTTCTGACAAATTTCCTAGATTAGGTATTCTTATTCACATTAGTTAGTTTCTTTAAACATGTGATTAAAAATGATAATCTGGTTTTACATTAATAAATCTGTGATCTTTTTAATGGAGTTGTAAAGATGATGATTATGAGAGGATTAGTTATGAATAAGCGTTAAGGTTCACGTATAAGTTTTAAATAATAGATTTTTTTTCATAAAAAAATAAAAAATTTATTTATAAATAAGTCTCATGAATTCATTAAATTATAATGAAATCTCATAATTTCTTAGTGTTATTTTTTACATGTGTAAAAAGACTACATTTTCCTTAGACCAATATACGAAGTTAACTTGTAAGTGAAAGAGTGTAAATATATGATGCTGATATATAAATTTATGTGTAAAATTTGAATAATCAATGTGAAAATTATGAAGGATTCACTTGTAAATTTAAGAGGTTCGAATTATAAATCTAAAATGTTCACAAGTAAATTCATATGTAAAAATTAAATAAAGAACAATTCAGTCATTTGCACGTGCAAAATGATAGAAAAAATACAAATAGCAAGTTTACGTACTTTAATTACATTTTATTTTTTTTTTTAGTTCCCAATCCTTTTTAATTTTTTTTTTCTTATTTTAGATTGTTGGAAAGGATAGGAAAGAAATGAGATTGTCAAGAATAAAATGAACTGAAATAATAATAATAATAATAATAATAATAATAATATTATTATTATTATTATTATAGATAGATGAATAGAATTATGTAAAAGTAAGACCATGAAGTAATAAAGACGTAAATTCGACCCAAAAAAGTAATAAAAGGCGAAAATAAAAATTAAGATATACAAGTTCATAAACTTAAATTTTCAAATTCTAAGAAATGATGATTATCAGAGTGAAAGATTATGAGCAACAAAACATTACTTTGGAATAAAAGTATATAATAATATACTTACATTGAAATATATGATTATTTTTTTATCATAAATTTATGATCATTATTATAGCAAAAAAAAACTATTTCTAAAAATCCTAGGGACTTAAAACAAAGACAACGTAATTATTATTAAATCCATCTTCTAAAGATTTGAGTAATATCCTCCCATCAAAGTTAACAAAATTACATTCAGCACTAAGAAGATTTCAACCCAAACTCTTATTACATTCAATGCAGGTTGGCTAAAAACAGAAATTTATATTCATGACAAATGATATAACATAACGAATGACGGTCTGAAAAAATGAAGCAAATAATATTGCCTCTCTCCGTGCGTGACACACGGCAAAGCGAAAACACGGCTAGAAGTACCAGTTCATGAACCGAACAACAGTTTAGATTAATTAGATTTAAATATACTTTTAGTCCTTAATTCATTTCAATTCCTTCATTTTATAAAGTATTTTTTTAATTCTTTAATCTTAACATTATTATAAACTATCAGTGGTAAGATTCAAGGATCAAAGAGGCACTTTATAAAATTAAAAAATTAAAATAAAATATTGAGTAAAATTAAAAAACTAAATGTATACTTTAACAGATTAATATTTAGCAAAATATTAATAATTAAATTTTCAGTACAGACTTGTTCACTAAAAAAATAAAAGAATGAGTCAGAATTCAATTAAAACATTAAAATGATCAAAATTAGTCAGAATGAATTTCTTCTAATTTTCTTTATTAATTAAACCAATACAAATCAGTATTTGATAGTTAAAGCTAATCCACATGAAAAGATTGTGAACTGCAATCCAGCACACAAGACGACCCCAGCCTAAGCAACGTGTAACAGATATATATATCAATCTCCAATGCTTATGAATATTGTTCTCCACGTCATTACCGATAAAGCAGTATTATAAAAAAATAATGATAATAAATTTGCATATATAACTAGAGCGACAACAATAACTGTTAATTCAAAACTGAAGATTGTAATGAGAGATTAAAACCCCTACTATGCAGATGTACTTAGGCTACCCGGCAAAAATGACTCAGACCATCGACTCCAACGAGACCCCACAAAAAGGAAGGTGTTTGTGGAGAAGTCAGTGAGATTTAACATGCTGCAACACAACGTTATAGGCTTCATGTTCCTCCCCGAAATCCTGCAGGCAGCAAGAAGTTAAACAAGGAAAGTATCAAGCAAAACAGAATGGCAGTGACGGTTCATTCATACCTCGACAACCACGCAGGAGCAACCGACCACCTTTCTAGCCTTTCCTTCTGAGTCGATCTTACACAACTGCCACAAGACATGGATACAATGGCAGTGTAAATAAACTGATAACCACTATTCAAAGACCTCAGGTCAACAATAAGATTTGGAGTGAATGATAATCAGAAAGGGTAAAAGGAAGACACAGTTAACCGTAACTTACACCGGCCCACTCTCCAAGGCTTTTTGCATTTGGAACTGTCAGCAAGCTAACATTGTGCTCAGCACAGAGGGCTTTCACAAGTTTTACATAGTCGGGTTGGTCACAGTCCTCGGCAAGAACGCAGAGCTGTGCAGCGTGCTTCTCGATAACCTTAGCACCTTCATGAAGGCCTCGAGCAAGACCACCATAAGCCATTGATTTTCTCAGCACAAGCTGCAAGGCAGTCATGATGTCCATTGGCTCACCTGCAATTGGTGGCACTGTCTCGGCAGCGACAATAACCTCTTCTCTGCAAGGGAAACAATTTTATAAACAGTGAGCAACACATATCAGACCCTCTTCTTCATCTAAATGAAACCAGAACAGTATTGACAAAAAGAAAACCTCCAATGTTCCATACATGAATTGGCATCCAACACTCATAAATATTTAATACACAAATTTTGATATCCTTGGTTTTTCCTCTTGCAGTTCAATACAATGTTCAGGGCTGTTCAATCCACACGTGTCAGACCAATCATGTTATAATAATGAAAATAAGGTATAAGTGTAGAATTGACTTCAACCAAGCTTAAGCCACTGATGAGTTCGAATCTAAATATAATCTCTGCTAATTCTCAAGAAAGCACATGGCAATATTGTATGAATTATAATCTGCAAATAAATCCCCCTCAACACATTTCTCACCTCAAATGAAATGTCACCAATCAGTGGTTATTAGATACAGGGTGGGAACACCCATGAAGCATAAGAACTTACAAAAAGGCTGGTCAATATCTAATGCATATTAGACACTAGTATTAGACATAATATCACATTACTTGACAGCTTAAAATACACTTGAATTTGTGACCAGAGATCAGATGGCCTTATCCACGTCAATGCCATGTTAGATGTCCAACTCAATACCCACTGATTCAAAAATAATAACAATTAGATTATGAGAAGTTCTCATTTAAGAACTTGCAATGATTCCTATTATAGATATCTTTTAAAAAAAGGCATAACAATTATCTAATCACACACACTGAACGCATGAAATAAAAGATATAATCTTGAAAGCAGAATATCCATACCCTGACATTTGGTTATTGAAAATTGAACTCTACTTCCTGCACACGCAAAGACACACAAAACATATTAAATCCACACTACAGAGCTATTAATCGTGAAGAAGCAAGTGCTGTTTCAAAATTAGACTTGATTTTTGTTATGGCTAGGTTTAAGTGTTTAACTACAAGGACAAGGGCAGTGACAGAATCAGCATCAACCAACCCAACTGTGGCAGGACAGATCTAGAATGAAACTCACGTTCTTTTGGGGAAGCTTTTTTTTTTTTTTTTAAGTAACACGTATATGCATATAATTTTTTCCTCCTTTTTGCATATTTCTTCCCCATATTTTCTAAAACCCAAAAGAATCACCTCAACTTTCTTAATCTGGTTTCTTTCCAACATTTAAATACACACAAATATATGCAAACACATATGCACAAGTACATATATGCGGGCACTGATACACAAGTGATAGTTTTTTCTTTTCCCCCCTTTCCTAATGTTTCTTCTCAACTGCCACGTGGGGCTGAGAGTATAATTAGTGTTTCGTAGATGAATTATGGGCTAAAAGATTAGAATTTATGGTTTCCAGGGAGGTAGTGAGAAATCTTAACAAAATTGATTAGAAATGCTGAGAAATTAAGGTTTTGGTGCATTTCGGGTCGGGCAATGCGATAAGATTGTGTGTGTTGATATATCAATCTCCCCTTTCATTCTCCTGACCCCCATCCCTATCTCCTCCTTTCTTTCTTTTGTTTTCTAATAAGTGAGCCAACTCCTTCATCCGTCGTCCAATACCCTCCTTGCGCTCCTTACAGATCCACCACAGCCCAACAGGATCACAACAAGTATCTACTAAAAAAACGATTGCACTCATTTAACCAGAAACATTTTAAGCAAATGCCAAACTTAAGGTCTGAAAATATAGTTGTGCTTATAAAATCAATGTCAGATGGAGAGAGTCGAAGAAGTTATCACCATTAAAAAGAACAATAACAACAATAAGAAAGTAGAAGTTGACCTGAAGGATGACTCTGCCGAAATATTGTGATTGTGCAGGCGCGGCAGAATGAAGCGCAGGACAAGCTGGAGATTTATCAGGGGAACCATAAACCCTAATTTTAAGCCTAATTTACCGAAATGACCCTGGGAACAAGTTTCAGATTTTGGATAAATACAAGCATATAGAACCAGACCCCAAGTGTTGCTCTCAGGCCTAAAACATCCTCTTAACATTTCATTTTTTTAAGTAGTGAGCCATCGGGCCCATTCAATGAGCTGAACTTGTTTTTTTTTTTTTTTTTGCTTTAAGTAATTGGAATAATAAAATAATAAAATGTGACCAAAATGTTAGCAAAAAGATGTCACCGAAAAAAAAAACTGAAATTAGACCTCTAAATTGTATTTAGTATGACAAAAAATTAAAATTATAAAATTTTTTTTTCCGTATATTGGATAGATTGATTAAAATACCCTCAAAAAGACAATAATATCCTTATTTCAGAAAACTTGCCAACACAAACCATTTTATTATATTGTTTGATCCGGCGAAGATTTTAGAAAGATTTTCCAGGGCAATTGTGTAAAAATCCAGTCTCAATGTCAATCTCATAAGTCATGATTACAAAACCTACCAATTTACCGGTAGCCATGAATCAGAATTCGAACCAAGATTATCCAGGCTTTTTCTCTGAGTTGCATATCTTGTATATTTTTATTTGGATTTTTAAATTTCTGCTTACAAAAATCTTAAAAATGTGGACAGTTCGATGCTCACAGTTCTACTTCCTAATAACAGCAAGTCATAAATAAATTAAATTTGATCAATTTTTAAAGTAAAGTATCATTGTATGATTCTGAGTCATAAAAATTCTTGTTCCCTGTGTGAAAATAAAATATTTTGTTTATAATTGATTTGAAAGCCATTTAATTATGGTTTTAATTGTTAATTCTTAAATCAGTACTTTAATTAGAGTAATAATCAATTAAGTTTTCAATACTTTCATCATCCAGGAGGGAAAGAAAAAAAAATTGATTGAAGCACAATGACGTGAAAAGATTGATTTCAAACACCTACTATCCAATCTAATTTGCATCAAGTCCCGCAGCTCAACAATAAAATGATTATTATTTTTTAATTATTTAATGAATATTGATTGATTGAATTAACCCTTCAAAAATGTGAAGGATTGGGTTCCAACTGTGTTGTCCCACATTTAATATCTTATTTCACAGCAATAATTTAACATAATGATGCATATGATATCAATAAGCATATTTTTCAAACATCTCTAAATTTTAATTTTTTATTTAAACTTTTTTATTATATGAAATTTATGTGAATCAGATTCTAGACACTCACTAGGATCTAAACATACTTCTAGGGTGAAATAATACTTACAGATATATTAACAAATCGCCCACCACCATGATTTTATTTCCAATAGGCTTGATATCACTATCCTTAAACTTTTTTTTAAGATTCTTAAAATTAAATTTAAAATTGTAAATAATAAATTTGGAAGTTATGATAATGTATGTTTAAACTAGAGAGACAATTGATACTTAGATAGTAGGTAGATTTTTGGGGTGGGGAAGTTATGAGCTTGAATTTTCTCTTGATTAACTGACTTTTAAAATTGAAATTTAAAAATTCAGAATAAGAAGTTGGGAAGTTTTGACATTGGAGAAATTTTTTAAGGTGGGTAAATTTGACAGCAGAAATACTTTTTCAACATAACTTATGTTTGGGCATAAAATGTCTACATTTAAATAAAAGTTCAAAATAGTATGAAGCAAAGAGTTATGCTTGATAAGATGTCCAATGAAGTGGAGCTCAATCTACTTAGAATAGACCTTTTGAACTAAGTAAGTATTAAGTTATAAAAGGAATGTGAGCCTTAGGACTCGGAGCGACTAAGTCAAAAGGACCATTATTTGGACATAGAACCGTTACATAAACGTGCCTTGAAACTTGCAATATTAGGCCCAGTAGGAATGGATATTTCAGCACAAAGCATCCGGGCTCATAGTTTTGTGGACACAACGATGTTGAATGAGTATCATAAATAGAGCTCCAGAAAGGAAAGAAGGTAGCAGCTAACAACAACACAATCTAGACACTTTGTTACTCAATTTATCTTTTATATCAATTTGTACTTAGGATATAGTTCTTCTCATCTGGGCTCATAGTTTTGTGGACACAACGATGTTGAATGAGCATCATAAATAGAGCTCCAGAAAGGAAAGAAGGTAGCAGCTAACAACAACACAATCCAAACACTTTGTTACTCAATTTATCTTTTATATCAATTTGTACTTAGGATATAGTTCTTCTTTTCAATTTCTAGGAAAATGTAACTCTAGATAACTTCACACTATTAATCAAGCGATTTTCTTTTCATTATCTGTTGCATCTTTACATCCAAGCAAATTGAGATAAAAGAGCTCAAAAACTATTATTTACATTGAAACTCTGCATCTCTGACATATCTAGAATTTTATTATCATGAATAACTTTCAATTGTATTCCTCTGGACCTATTAAAGGTAAATAATATAAGAAGTGATTATTATAGGTGAATATCACACCAAACATCTTTAAATATAAGTAAAAAGTGATTATCAAAAAGCTAGTAATATTTTATAATTTAAAAATAAATATACAATAATTGTGATATGAAAGATAATTATAATTTCAATGTACGAGTTTATAATACACACCTTATCTTGTTATTAAATATATTTTTTTCTTTTCTAATACTCTTAGGTTATGTACCTTTGATGGATCAAAGCCTAAAATATAAGTCCAAGCAAAGTGGGGGCTTCATCAAAATATTGGAAAAGTCTAGGTCTTTATGCATAATACAATTAGGACCATAATATAATATTTCCATTGTCATTTTGAAAATGTGTAGGAACTATCATTTCGAACTAGATCTTCACATTATCACCGAATGAGGTGGTTTATAGGAAAGGCTAGAGAGAATATGTTTTGCTCTTAATTCTCATATCATAGACTTTCTCACATCTTTTTTTCATCACTTTCTCTCACTGGTAGTCTACAGGCTTAGTCTCAGTTAACATTGATGGTTTGATCCTGGACACATTAGTTGACCAGTCCTAATAAGTGGTGGGGGTTTGATCCTTGTCCATACTGATGGCTTGGTCTTAGATGACAGGCGAGACAGGTCTTGATTGTCATCAATGATCAATCCAATTGCTGGAGGTCTGATCACGTTCGATAATGACAATTTGGTCCTAGTCAATGGCAGCATTCTAATCATATGTGGTGGTGGCATTTGGCACCAGATGATGAAGGCAAATAGATCGCAAACGGTGATCATAGATTGGCCCTGGATGGTGGCTATAGATTTAGATCGACACCAGTTAGAGGTGATGGACCAGCACTAAACAACCAAAACAAACCAAAACTAGATGACGATAATGGACCAGTAACGAATGATGGTGCCAGCAGCGAACAGGCACCAAGTGATGACGGATTGTGAATTGAAATTTGAAATTCCTAATATGTAGAAGGGACTTGAAATTACAAAAAAAATTATATTTAACAATGAATTTGAATTTGGACAAAATCAAAAAAATTGAAATATGTCAGATCCTACCAAATGCCCCCACCACCCTCCATCAACACTCCATATCAGGAGATTGAAGGAAAATCAACCGAAATATTGTTAATTATTAAATATTAATTAAATGTATAAAATGATTAAATATAACAGCGTATCACGTGGAGTATCCATTATCCATCCACTGTTCACCTAGTTATCCCAAATTGATAAAGTTTTTTTTTTTTTTTTTTTTTTTTACAATCTAAAAGGTTTTCTAGTTACCCTTAATTGCTAATTCTTCATAATTTAGGAAACTCTCTTAAATTACAACATTAGTGGTGCCATTCAAGAGGAGTTTTATAGGGTGCAGGGTTTCTTTTAGTCTTCATTTTTTCCCCTATATATGTAGAACAAATTTGTACTCTTGGGAACAAATTCATGAAAGAGAATTTTCTTGAGTTTTTTTATAACTTTGTTGCAAGCTGTGCTTGCTTATGGGTACCATGCAGTGAACACAAATGTGATTAATGTAGTATCTTAAAAGATAAGGTTGTTAGAAGCAAGTGTTATAGAAATCTTTTTCTTGATCATTATGTTTATTCTTTTTTTTTTTCAATTTCATTTTTTCAATTTGTGTTTTAAATTTCATTTTGAACTAGCACAATTTCACTCTCACACTGATATCAAGTATTGTATACTTTTATTATCCAAGAAAGAAATAGGATTAATTCAATGCACTGGTCCTCAAATATCATTTCTCCTTAAAAATTTTCCGATCATAAATAAAACCGAAATTAAAAATGTTATTTTTCATCGGAAACATTAATATTTAAATAAAAATTATTAACTATATAATTAATTGTACGACGGACTCACCGTATGAGTGTGTCATCAAATCAAAACTAATCTATAATTTAAAATCAATCTGAGTTAGTGGGTGATCTGTAATAATTTCTGCAAGTATTCTTTTTGAGTTCAAAGGTTTGCCAGAACTCTATAATTTAACTCACTTAAAACTTTTAGTCTAAAAAAAGTCTCTATGATTCAGAGGAAACGACAAAGAAAACCAGTGTAATATAACTTAAATAAGTGGAATCAGAGTAATTCACACCCCAAAATTTTGAAAGTGCATTCCTCTTAAATTTATATATAATAATAATAATAATAATAATAATAATAATAATAATTAATATTAGAAGATTATTTTCCGGCACTACTGTATTAGATTTTAACGGGTGTTTTTTAATTTTTATTTAATTGGCGAATTGTCGAATAAGCGCTTCTCGTTAATTTTTTTTTTGGCCCATTATTATTATTATTATTATTATTATTATTATTGTTGAAAGGGCCAGCCCGAAAGCTTGAGAAACGATAAAAACGAGCATTTCTAATTTACTTTGTTTCGTTGAGCTGAAGTAGAGGATGCGATTTCTAGAATGTGAAAAATTGCGTCTGGAGTCTTCAGGGCCCTCTCTCTCTCTCAAATTAAAATTTATTTTCGCAGCATGACCAAAAAAATTGGTTTTCTCAGAAAAAACAGATTGAAAAAAAATATATGAAGGAGAAAACCAACACGAAGCAAAAAGCAATCCACCTAT